AAAAAAGCTTTATTGAAGCTTTTCCTCCTAAGAGATCCAAAACAACCGTGACAGGTCTGCATCAAGACCGGCAGCTCATCAGTGAAGCAGGCACTTCAACAAAATGCTGCCCTTTTGATCAACACCTCCGAAACCAACGCTTAACCCCAAGACCCGAAAGGTAGGCCTGGACCCACAGGCCCGCCTGCCATCAGTTCAGGCCTCGAGATTATGCCAGCCTGCAAGGTGGCCAAGCCGCAAAGGAGCGTGTCTGCGTGGTGACACCCTTCGCGGTCACGTGACCACTCGGCGCCAGAGGGACGCAGCGAAGCGTTGAGCCTTTGAGTAGAGGAAACCACAACCACACTGTTCTTTCAAGTTACCGGGGGGGGTTGTTTAAAGGGTTTATCTACTCAAATACTTGTTAACTAAAATCCTTCAAAAAGAAAAACATTTTGTCCATATACCTCACTCTATCATCTGCTTAAGAACCCGAACGTAAATTCACGATTGCGATACATTTCATTTGCATAGGTTGAATCAATCGATCGAGACACGCTGCAGCCTTGCATGGAGCTAAGAGCACGCCACGCTACACTAGAACCTTCCGGCATTAACAGAACTGCTCTCCTTTCGAGTTTCCCAAATGTAGCCCCAGAAGCATTTACAGAATCACAGTAACACCAACAGCATTAAAAGACAAAAATGAGTAGCATTTTAGGATGTTTACTTAGCGATACTTTTTGAATAAACTTAAGTTCTGTAACTCTTCATGGATATGAGAGTCTGCTAAATTAATGGATTTAGATGCAAACTTCTGTCTGCCTTGGCGAGGAAGGCTGATTGGCACAGTCCATACAAATCCAGCCAGCCAGCCCCGCCCACTCCAATCACGCCTCTTGGCAGCCTGACTTGCCTTTATGGGTCCAGCCCACATAACGCACCCAGGCACAATACTTACATGGGCTCACGTCCCTGTACCGATTCCTGGATTTATTTTCAGAAAGTTTGGCAACTTTGCATGGCAGCTCGCTTGATTGCAGACGAATTTCCTGCAGAAAAAAAACAAACAAACATAATCTTAGGATTAAAGAGTTAAACTGAGGGTTTCACTGTGTATAAAAGCCAAAGAAAACACTCATTGAACAGGTTACAGTTAAATACAGCCCTAACCTTGAGTAGGTACAGGTTGAAACAAAGAAAATGAGGGAAATTTTTTTTTCACATTTTAACGACACAAATTCAATTGCAAACTACATGTCAGTGCACAATTGCCTGTGGTTTGACTACTAGACCCAAGTGCATTCAATACTTCAGCCCCTAGATGAAGCCTGAACATTTCTCAGTATTACAGGCAAACTGAACAGGATCACCGCCATCTCTGAGCATGGTGAGGATGTTTATTTTAATGCTCAGTGGAAACTTCTTGTTTTCTGCCAAGTGGCTTCACACACAGACTGTAAAGAAAACGTGATCAGCCAGGACGACAAAAAAAAAATAGGCAACTTTACGGTTTTACACATCCATGCAGTATAAAAAACAAAACAAACCTTAGTCTCAACAGTAAGCCTGACGGTTATGCTACCTGTCCTCCGTATTTTCACGAGGTTCTCTTTCACTTATATGCATTGGATTACAGCCATCAGTAAGAATGGGCTGACTGGGATGGCTGAAAATAAGCAGCGCAGAGAGCCCCGATACAGCGATTTGAAAACCCCAGCGGCCACTCGGAGAAGTTTTCCCTGAAACATCGTCTAGTTCTTAGTCGCGCATGATTTAGTTCGGAGCAAAAGGCGACGCTGGGACCCGCAGCCACACACCTGGCCGTCAAACGCACGTCAGACTCGCCGGCGCCCCCTGCAGTTCACCTGAGCATACAAATGTATACAAATACCTCTGTGGTTCAGGTGGCTTGATTTATAAACAAAAGGTTCTCCATTCAAGAACTTGCAGAGCTGCTTTTACCTCAGATAGAGCTGATTCTGAACTCAACCTACTACATTTGTAAAAAGCTAATTTAAATTAAGGATAAATGATTAATTTAAAAAAGTCAGTCGAACACACATATTAAACAAACCAGCAAAGTACACTTATTCTGCATTTCAAGAGGTGTCTGAGGTCTGAACTGTTCCTGATGAGCCCCAATAAACACCAAAGGGCAATGTAACCTCAACAGATAAAAATATATGTGTTTCAAAAAATAAACCCATCAAAAACAGCTGGGCACAATCCTTATACACAGTCAACCTTGTTACACACCCAGTATGCCTGGTTCTTATTGCAGAATTTTGCACTATATGGTTAAACACAAAAGGCAGAGTAAACACCTTTGTATTAGGCCTACAATGCCGGATTAAAATGTAGGATCAGAATTATTTTGCAGTTGCATATTTACAGGGAAAAAACAAAACTGCTACTGTAACACTTACTGGGGCTGTTTTTTCTGGGTTTTTTTTCAGTTTCCTGGTTTCCAGTTCGGTTGGCAGCATCATGGGGCAACACCTTCTCACCTCACCCACTAGCTCCCAGAGGTATCTACTGTCTGTACTTCCTCTCGGACCCCCCCCCCCCCAAACACCAGATCAAGGTACCCGGCATCCAACTTAAACTATCCAAACTCCTGAGATCAACTATTATGTTACCGTCCAATTTCACCGAACACCATAAAGCGTCACAAAGACACATCATTAGAAAATTTCAAAAGATTATCAGTTGTAGCTACAATGATTAAAGGATATTACACGCCGATTCTCCACTGATGAGCTGTACACTACCACGTGACTCGTTTACAGAAATCTTAGCCCCCCAATTAGGCCTCCCATGTTATCAGTCACCCCCTGGCTCGCGAGGCCATTCGCAAAGACGAGTCGCAGCCACGCATCACACTTTTTTCCACAGCCGTCAAAGGGGCTCGCCTCCTCATCCGTATTCATTACCGTCTGACAAATGTTTGGTGCTGACCCCGTAGTGTGATTAATTACTTCCTATAACGAGAAAAGCTGACTGCTTTAAGAGTTTATGCAAAGTACTACTGCCGCACATTTCGCGCAACTTTTTTCCGAGAAACGAAATAGGCGCATCTCTGTCATGTGGTTTGCAAACAGATCGCCGCTTTATGCTGTTTAGAGGGGATCGTATTGTACACTTGCTTCTAAAAGCATGTGTACGTTCATTAGAAAATACACACACATACATACACACACGCGCACGCACGCACAACTAAGTTTGTGAGCAGCTGAAGCGAGCGACAGCCTTCCTGTTTTCTTACTTCGCTCTTCATGGCCAATATCGCAGCACAATCGGGGGCTTTCCGACTGCCACTGCGCATGCTGCCACCACCAAAAACCGCACACAAAGCCCATTATTCGCCCGCTGCCTGGATAAAGCAGCCGCCCACAGTCAAGACGGGAAAATTAATTTTATTTATATATTTATATATATACACACACACATACACACACACACACACACGGAAAATAAAATATATAGCGCAGTCCTGTCATGAGTTCGCAGAGCCATAGGTGTCAGGCTAAAGTAACAAACAGATTCTACTTCTAAGTAGAATACTTATTGCCGCAGATTCACATCCCTACAATCACATTTAGGCAACAGCTAACCTTTAACATTTTAAGTAACTTGTAAGTTTATTAATGTTGTCGCTCATAACCACGACTGCCAAACAGCCAGGCAGCCCATTTCCCCGCTAAAGCTCTTTAAATTACATTTTGATTCTTTGTCTTATCAAGTCCGCTATCCAGTGGAAACAATCGGACCACCAGTTTATTCCGGCCAGAAAACAAACCGCGATTGAATGGAGAACTGAACCTCTGCGGCGCATCACCGTGGCGCACCGACAGCTCTCCGGGCGCACGACCTCCAGCGAGGTCCAGGCCAGCCGGGCCAGAGGTCCGCTAACCACCAGGCTGTCAGCAGCCGTCGCCGGTACGTAGAGTCCGCTCCCGGTACTCATCTCAGGAACATCACCTTATTCATGTACCTGATAAATGGCGTTCCACGTCCCGGCTCCATCGATTTCCCGAAACTCTTCCTCCATTGCCTCGCTTATGCGGCCCCGTCTCCCAGCTCCTTCACAGTACACAAGTCAAAGACGATCAATATCTAAGTCAGCAGCGGCAAAAAATATTTTAGAGACATTCAATAATTATACCCAGCGTGTAGATTTCAGCCTACTGTTGTTCTCTGCCCTTCTCTTACCGGAACCACGCCGCTTGCTCCTCCCGTAACACGACTGCCGCTGTGGGGCTAAAATGGAATACGCCCTTTCACACATCGATAGCCTATCGCGACGTGCAGAGTGACAGTCATCCAGCAAGGTCGCTTATCAGTGGCTGAAACCGATGGGATGGGGCGGGGCGCGAAAATTCGCCAATCAACTTACGATGCGTTAACCTCTTGGTGTAGATGGTTTTTGTAGTTCATGGGAATCACGACCTATAGAGAATTATGATTGAAGTCCGGGCAGAGAAAAGAATGCTATAATCTAAACAGAAGTATGATACGCATATATATTAACGTGGAATATTTCTTTGTCTGTTCAAAAAGTAGTAGCCTTTCCCTTCAGAAATTATGTTGACACACAGTTTACATTTTAGAACAAAAGTATCTACTACTTAGGCACAATCGATTCAGGAAGTTTTACTTAACTATATATTTATTTATTTGTGTGGTTGTTTGGCTTTTTTTGTCGTATAAATGTGCTTTTCATGTCTTTACTTTTAATAATCCTTGTGCCTTTGTAAAGCAACTTGAAATAAATTGCCTTGCCATATAAATGTCCCCACTAAGAAGGATAATTCAAACCTAATCTGTTCAGTTTCGCTTTGGTTGTACTGATTTGTAATGGCAGAGTCAAATATTCTAGAGGCATGACACCGCTGTAATGCTTTTACAAAATTTACATTGAATATACTTCACTCATCCATACAAACATATTAGGAGCCAAACGTCATTACACATTTTTAGCCTCAAAAAAAGCACGATACCGAATTCGGACTGAGCAGTTTTACAACAATTTTACGGCATGAACGTGAACGTATTTTAAGATCCGAGTTTCTCAGAGAAGGTACACACGTATAGACGTCATAGAAATTAATTGTTTTAGCATAGGCCTACGTATTAATTGTGCATAACCTTAGAAGAAGATAAACACGGATTATCGATTGTTTTTTTTTTTTTCTTGATCAAATAGTATAACATTAGAAAATTCAAAGGCACAATATGCGTAGTCATTTTATTTGCCATATATTTTCGCGCAGTTTAATTACTTTACGAAGGGTCCGTTGATACTACAAGAAGACAAGGCTCAGGTGCTCCGGGCATTACAGTTACATTTTATCTTAAATTTTTTGTCCAATGCAATGTACAGGTGAGGTCGATAATACACCATAAGGAGCCAATTTAGTTCCGAGTGCCACTAGTATTACAACAGTATTAGAGCTCTTATTCTAATACAAATACTGGACCAGTGACAAGTCTGAATTCTGTACGACACTGGGCCTAACATCAGAAGAACAATTTCAGTCTAACACCATAAGAACTATGTTCTTGATAGTCACATTCAAAATACTATCGTGTCCACTGTTACTGAACTATAACTAAGAGATGAAAGAAGAAGGTGTTTCATAAAGTTGAGAGGAACTCTGCTGACCAGATGTATATTTTATACAGGGGATCAAATAGAGCAGGGGTGGTGAATCTTATCTGCAAAGGGCCGGTGTGTATGCAGGTTTTTGGGATAGCCTTTACGTCTGATCAAACCCAGGTGTGAAGGCTCTTCCGTCAAACAGTCCGATTGCTATAAAGCTAAGTCGCAGCAGAAATCCACATACCCAGTGACCCTTTCTGGATAAGATTGGCCAGCCCTGAAATAGAGGTTCTGCTAGTTGCAAACATTTGGGACAGATTTTCATGTGGAACAATGATCTCTCAGGCAGCAGCGAGAGGCATCCGCAGCAATACGTCTTCTGGGACATCTACCAGTTTTCCTCAAGCAAAGAAGAACACACAGCGGTGTTAATTAGCCACTCCCATCAACAAAAACAGGACACTTCATAGAATAGGATGCTTTGTTTTTGGCCACGCTTTTATAAGCCTTTGATTTGATTCAACTGCGCCACCTAGAGTCTGAACAGTTCAATGACAAATAGATTGGATGAATATGTACAGTATGATGCACACTGTAATGATACAGGTTTTCTTTATGCTCATAGAACTTGTAGAAATTTGAAACCCACTTTGAGAAGACAGGAGGTGAGGACTGATCTGTGAAGGATGACTGCAAATATGTGAACTGCTAATGTGAAACGCAGAACAAAGAATACATGTCATTTTTTTGGGGGGGGGGAGTGGGGGGAGTTCAAGGTCAAAGAGGATTTCTCATTCAGGAAAGCACAAACAACCAGAGAGCAAACTTTATTTGAACATACCTGAACATAACAGCAATTGGCAGTGGTTTTCCAGGGGATGTGTATACTTTTCCCTGATTGGCTGGTGAAAAGTCCAAGAGACCAACCTCCTTGAAGGGCCTCCACTGGCTGGTACTTGGGCTCAGTGGAAGTGAAGTAGTTCTGGTCCTCTAGGAAGCCCTGCAGGTACTAAAAGGTGGTCCACTCGTCAGCCTCCTTGCGCCAGCAACTCAACATGAGCTCGGTAGAGCGTGGCACCCGTTACCCTCTCCATACCAATTCCACTAGTTTTCTGCACTCACACACTAAAAATCAATGAGAAACACAGTTCTGATAGACCATACAAGCTCAATACAACTGCAGCTTCATTACGTTCTTCAGCAAAACACATTTGGATTTAATGTACCGAGCCAGCAGACGGATGGAAAAACAATCTGGAAAACAACTTGAGTCCAGCACCACTGGTGTTTGCATTCCTCATGATGGAGGAGAATCCTATAGGGCTTTTATTGTAGCAAAATTATTTGCAAATGTGTGTGGAGATTTGTGTAACTTTATCTGAATCCGTATGGGTGTAATCAGATCTGTAAATGTGTAAATGAATTTGTAAATGCATACTGAGATTTGCAAATGTGAATCTGTGAAATGTGAATTGGAATCTGTGTCTATTCAAAATCTGTGTGTGCGTAATCATATTTGTAAATGTGTAATGAGATTTGCAAGTATATCGATATTTGTACACGTCTAGACAAATTTGTAAATGCGTACACATACCTGTGAATGTGTAGACAAATTTGTAAAAGCTTGCATAGATCTGTAAATATGTTGAGAAATCTGTAAATGAGTAGATAGCTATTTTTGGCTGAAAAGTCAAAGTATTTTGTTCCAAGAAATGGAAATACAAACAAGTCATCAGTTACAACTCGGGTGGATCTCCCAGTTAGCTGCTGTTTTACGCGTGATTTTTGCTACACTTTCTGCTGTGGCAGATCTGCAAATGTGTGTGGAGATTTGTCAGTATCGACAAGGTTTTCAGGGCTTATGGCTTAGCATTGTCCCACTGGTAAGCTTTGGAGGGCTTTTAGGGGGCCGGGTTTTATTTCACATGGACGCAGCAGGGCAATAGCCCGTGTCAATTGTGACATAATTCTTCATCATATGAACCGGCCTTCGATGCCGTGTAGGGGTGCTGCGTGCATACGGAAGGCTAAAAGGATCAAAAGGTGCTCATTTTTTCACTTTAACACACTCGAAATTGATGTTAATGCATACATTTTCTAGATGTTACCTCTTAATAACGTGTTAATTGGGGCAGCATGTGGCTTAGTGGGCTAAGCCTGTGGGCCTGTAATCAGAAGGTCGCCAGTTTGAACCCAGTCTTGGCGCATCTGCAGGTCCTTGAGTATGGCCCTTAACCCCCAGATCTCTTGATGCAATAGGTGGCCGCTCTTCATTGCTAGCTTACTCTACAAAAGTGCAAGCTGGGGGAGGTGTAAAGACAATTTCCCCATGGGGATCAATAGAGTATGAATTATCAAGATATGCCCGGTTATGGAACACCATTTGGATATAAATTGTGAGACAAATATGTCTCAACACAGAATTTTTTTGTGGAACGCTATCAGAGTCAAAACCCTCTGAATCAGCCCAGTACATCTTAAGACATAACAAATAACATGGTACCACACGTTAATCACATTCTTTGTGTTCAATGTCTATCATGTACAGTACACTGTCATGTAGGCAACTTCTGGCCATTAGGAGTAGTAGTCAACTAGAGCAAGTAGACAATTTTCCTTGGAGATGCTTAGTAGGTCGACAGCAAGATAAGACCAGGGTTGGTCAGGCATTAGTGTACTCTCTACCTCTTTTGGTGGAGCATTCTTACCTACTACCTTGCATGGGTGACATGTTCTTACTGTTTTCTCTGCCATCTTGTCCATCTCAGGCCATCACATCTTGAACTGTAGGCAATTTTTGGTCCTTACAATTCCTTGATGTCCCTCAAGTTCAAGCTCAACTACATGTGTCTGAAGCGCTTCCAGGATTATAATCCTAGTGCCCCTCATAACTATATGTCCACCTCTCCAGTGTTCTTCCTTGACTGCCTGAAGTACGATGCCTCTGAAACAGGTCCAATCAATTGTGAGTATGACTTGGCGAAGTTTGGAAATTGCAGGATCATTTTCTGATGTAATGTTGTGATAATGCGTTATACAAAAATAAATTTGTTGTTGTTGTTGAAGCTTGTTCAACTTCTTGAGGACTCATGAGGTTGAGGTATAGAGTCGTTGATAATGCTGTAGATACAGTCTTCAATTTCCTTTTCCTCGGCTTTGTCAGAATCATCAGTTGGCTGCTGGTTCGAAGGATCTACCTTGCTGATTTAACCAGGAATGCGGATGACCTGATATGTGAACTGTTTTAGATATAACAGATATCTCTCCATCCTTGTTCATGAAGATTTTAAGTGGATTTGAAGTGCTTTGCGGTCAGGCTGGATTTGGAAGTCACATCCGATGACTGAACTTCCTACATGCCCAGAACACTCAGGGAGCTTCCAGCTATAATTGACAATATTGAGGCTCAGTGGGGGTGAGCTTCCTACTGGCACAATAAACTGGCTTCCACGCACTGTCTGGCTGTCGTTCTAGCATTGCACCCAGATCCGTGGGTGAGGCATCACTTGTGCCTCCTCAACGAAACACGTGCACCACAGCTAAAAACAGCTTGTTTACTTCCGACAATTTCTTAATCAGCTAAACGGAGGATCCTCGTCACCATGCAATGACTGATACCCAGTTAGAGGCGGCTTTCTGTGTCCTTCATTCAGAGCAGAAACAACAGCATTTTCACTTAACAAGTGCTCTCCC